ACCTGTGGAAATGTCCGATGAGGTTAGTGCCGAAGGACTCCTAACGAAATCATCTTCGAACTCTTGTTGAACTTAATTTTTTTTGTTAGGAAAAGTAATATATTTTTTAGTGCCGTCCACTAAATTTGATAAGACTAACGAAAAGTGACCCAGATGTGTATTTTATTTCGTGGTGGTGACATATGAGTGGTAGTGAAGAAGTAAAAGTGTTATATTTACCATATGAGGAAATTCCTTGATTCCAGCTGTGGTACCTCCAACTATCAGTTTATTATAGTCTATCGCACATTCGAGTACATTTGAGTACGTACGGATGATGGATAGTGTGTCTGTTTCTCTTCTCTCATATGCAAACTGTGCATATTCTTTGCACTCTGAAATGATAAATATATAATTATTTTGAGAATGATATCAGTATCTCTGAGTGAAGCCTAGCTTGTAGATCAAACATAGAAGGTGAATTCGCTCTATATCTTCCTTTGCAGATTTCACTGCAAAGAGAAATGTTTCGATCTACTATAGATCTCATCAGTGCTACAACCTAGGTCATACATATTTGAACTCTCATCTCACACATTTGTATTCATGTGGTTCATTGATTATCATTCTGGAAACGATGAATTGATGAGTTTGCAATTTTACTATTAGAAATTCATCAATGAAATTTATATTCAGATAGTGATAGGCGAAAATATCCGCCTATCACTATCTTCCTAAAGTTCGGATGGAGTAGATACAACATGGGCTGAAAAAGTCTCGGGCCCAACGCATAAATGGCAATAATCTTATTGCATTTACCTTCAGAAGAAAGCTGTTGGAATTTCATTATATTTCACTCATAAGTTTGTGAGTTATTGTGCTAAGAGTGACACTACTTTTGTTATTTTCAATACAATTTATCAAAAACAATTTCGTGTTTTAATTTTACACTGCTTCTTGATGGGAAAAAATACCGTACAGACGAAGCAATTGCTTGAAAAGTGATATAAGAATTGCGCTCCAACAGAAACAACAATTAGGGGAGGCGTGGGCATAGTGACCACCCTAAGGAACATCTATTTTTTTCCACCCCTAACTTTTTTGAAACATTTTATAAATCCCTTCAACATTTAGGTTACTTAGGTTACTTTGGTTACTTAGGCCTGATCCAAAAATAAAAACAACTAGATTTTTAAACTTATTTGTACAAAATTTTGACTTCACCAAAAGTTGTCAAAGTGGCCATTCTATTTTTATTTTATCTCATTTTGTTTCTCTATGTGTTGTACTCTTTTTAGATATTATTTGGACTTAATACAAACATTATGTAATGTAAGGTAGTCAATAAACTTTCATTCATTCATTCATTCATTCATTCATTCACTTTAGGCCACTAGATAGGGCAAAGTGGCCACTGCCTAAATGGATTTGGATAGTATGGAAAAAATAAAACGCATTCAGTTTCAGAACTCAAAACGATTGTATTAGGGTTTTAAAAAAAATAGGCATTAATGAAAGTTTGTGAAACTATGAAATCACTGGTATTTACATAAATCACAAATAAACTCATCGTCCTCCTCTTCGGCTCCTGTGCAGGCTTCGTGAGCCCGTTTGAGGCACCCAGAACATCTAATCCAGCTTTCGTTGTCCTTGAATTTCGAGTAAAAATCACCACAGAATAAACAATCAACGTCGCTGACGTTGCCTTCATCATCATCATTATAGAGGTCGTCATTCTTTTTCTTAAACAATGCGCGTTTTTCTTCATTTTCAATTTTAGCCACCCATTTCTTAGGAGTCTGCTGTTTCTTTTCGATTTCCCTTTCTCTTTTTGTTTCTAGTCTACGTTGTTTCGCATTCTATTTATCTTCTTTTTCTTTCTTAATTGTCATGAGAGTGGTCTTACATGGACTGGATGTTAGAACTGTTGATGTTCCTTTCTTCCGCTATGAGGTGGGAATACGTGATCTTTCTGAATGCCTTCCAAAATGTCAAAAAACTTTGATACATTAGTTTTGTTGAACGCTTGAGCCCGTGCAGCTGAAGTCGCCTCAGGCTTCCGTAATGGAATCATAGGGTGGCGTTTTCTAAATCCCTGTATCCAATCTGTTACAGCAGCTTGACTAAAGTTATGAGGTATGCAATTTTTAACAGCGAGTTTATAGGCAAGAGCCTGTAGATCAGCGACTGTCACACCAAAAAAACGGACTTCCATGTCCAAAAGATGCTTAACTATTTCTTTTTCCTGCTCCTCAGTGAATATGGGCCGAAAGTGATCAAGAACTTTTTTTGTGTTTACTACATGAACATTTTTGTCGAGTGCACGCCGTTTTAAAGTACCTATTTCGATGTACCTAGAACTTTTTAACTGCGGTTTGCCAAGGTAACCCGTGGTTCTTCACTGCATCAATGGCCTTTTGCATAGCTTCAGAGTTCCAGGACTGCTGAGCGGTTTTCCTTCTATACTTGGACACCATACTGTTCTTCTTCTGCAAAAAAAACACGGAATTAGAATAACTGAAGTTTGCCGTGATCTTGCTCTTGATATTATAGCCCTATTTAGTTTTGTTTGTGATGAATGCAGTTTCAAAAATCAAGTCTTATGCAACATACATTGCGGGCAAAGTGGCCACGGCTGTGGCCACTTCGTCCTCTGTCACGCCATTTTCTAAATACAATATTTCACGTACAAACCGTTGTAGTATCTACTGTTGAGACATATAAATTCAAAGCTAGAAACATGTTGTTTTGAACGATTGATGTGCAATTTACTTCACCTAGGCCTACAATAAACTAAAGCGAAACATGTGATGCACTTACCTAACATCAGAAGGTCGAAAAAGTGGAAAATTTGCGATATATTGGTGAGCTTACCTCTGAGCGCCACCAAACTACAACACAATAACAACGGCTGCCGGGCGAGTAGTTGAAACTATTGCCGCGAGGCTGCATCAATATACAGGGAAGAAAACTTCAACTGGCAAACTTCATGTGGCAACTTTGCCCGCAGTGGCCACTATGCCCAATCTTCCGCTAAACGTTGGTTTGACTTCAAGCGTGGTCGTAGAGACACTGATGATGCAGAACGCAGTCGACGTCCAAATGAGACAATAACAATAAAAAATCCACAAAATCGTTTTGAATGATAGAAAAGTGAAGTTGCGTTAGTTAGCTGACATTGGAAAGGTATCAAAATAACGTGTTGGGTTTATATTGCATGAGCATTTGACTATGAGAAAGCTATGTTCAAAGTGTGTGCCGCGTGAGCTCACTGTTGATTATTCTGAGCAGTGTTTGGCCATGTTTAAACATAACAAACCGGAATTTTGCGTCGACGAGTGACAATGAATGAAACATGGATCCATCACTTCACTCCGGAATCAAAACGATCGTCATCTGAGTGGAGAGCAACTAGTGAACCTCGCCTCGTCTAAAGCGCCCGAAAGCGTACCAATCGGCTGGAAAAGTTATGGCCTCATAGTCTGGTCAAATTAGACCAAAAAATGAGAGTAAAGCTATCTAAATTTCTACCAAGCTGAAAATCAGTAAGATTGTTTAAAATATGATTAAAAATAAAATTTGAAAGTTCCCCATCTTTCCCATATATGGAAGAAATTGTATTCAAGGTCAAAGGTCAAAAAAATGAGTTTTTAGCGATTTTCAGCAAAACACTAAGTTTTATAATAAAAATACTTCAGACAAAAATTGTAGATCATAAAATTATCTATCTTGTAAAAACTGGAATCGTCATAATATGCACACGTTTCCACGCCACCTATGAGGTGGTGTACTTAGCGCGTTTTTTTTAACGTGGTTTCCCCAGTAGGTATATTCCACGGGTCAGTTGTGATTCTGTTTAATTTGAAACTACTGAAAAATAATGGATATTACCAAAGATTGAAAAAACAAGGGTGATTTGGGTTAAATAAAAGTAGTGAAATTCAATCGTCCGAGTCGCAACTTTCGAATTCTTCTTATTAATTTTCTTGTTCTTGTTCGTCTTGTTCTTCTTTTTCTTGTTCTTCATCTTCATCCCGAGTACATGTAAACTGCGTCAATAGCTATGTATCGCATGTCGCCTCGTTGGAATTAAACGGATCCCCCACTGTTAGTGATTCAATATTAGAGCCCGACCNAAGAGCTTGCAACGCCGCTTGACTGTCCGAGATTATCCCACGTATTATTTATTATTTATAAATAAAAAATATTCAATTTTCAATGGATTACCAGAAGAGGTGAATTTTTTTCTTACTTTTTTCAGCTACAATTCCAACTTTTTTTTTTGGTGTTGTCGATTCCGGACGTGACTGAGTTATCATTTGTGGGGGCGGGGGCGGAGGGAAAGCTGGTATTCGAGAAGCTGGTATTGAAGGAGAACTGTCTTTACAGCAAGCAATAATGGAAGTACCAATGAAGCCACATGCTTTTGGTAGTATTCCTTCTTGAAGAGCTTCTTTGGCGGAGTTGCATTTTGAAATTATCGTACAAATTCCATCGGATCCATCTGCTAGTTTACAGAAATCACCTGAAATTCAGAGTGTTACATTGAATTTACCTATTGTCTATTTCCGTAATTAGCGGGGTAATACATCATTTTCGATGGTTCACTCAGAATAAATAATAAACGAACTCTTAACAACATAAAACCCGTAGTGTCGTAGAAAAAAAGGGTTCTCTCTGTCTATTTCTATTGTATTTCGCGATCTAGAAAAAAATTACATTATTAACTTCACACATTTGATATCCAGTAATTCGATTTTATTATTTCATTTTATAAACATTCATACACCTGTATCCGGAGACGGCTAAATGAGAATGACTTAGATAATATTATCTGAACAGAAAAGAGCAACCAATTATTGGAGGAAATAATATATACTATATCATATCTTTCGTCAAATAAATACCAACGAATAATCACCACAGAGGTATTTCGGGGATGAAGACCAACCCAGTTTTTCAGATCTGTCATAACATTATGGCCCCTACGTAATGAAAATTTTCTAAAATAAAAGGCAAAGTTGGTGGATTGAACTATTTATTCATTTGGCCATACATTATCTTCAATCCACTGAATATAATGGGATACCCTTGTGTAGACTCCTGGTTGATTGCTTGCAATACCACATGGCTTGCCAAATGCCGTTACTCCTATTATGTTGTACATGCATTTTATATCCTTGGTATCGTTGCGAATTACTTGTAGAGGCCCTCCTGAATCCCCCTGTAAAATTAATGCAATGAGTGACTTTATAAGTCAATTGGTCATACAAGAAAATGTATGCATACATATTTGAAATACGATACAAAATTGAACAAAAATCTGCTATCTACTTCTCTACCAATAACGAAATTATGAGTTTGAAAGCTCGCGAATGCCAAACATTCCTTACTGTATAAAAGCTTTGAGCTTCTTATTGTATCATAGCCCCGTGAAGTTCAATCTTGTAAATCCAATTTTTTTATCTGTTATCTGTTATCTTTGAATCTGGAAAATGGGTTGCACTAAAATGCAGTACCAAGACCAGGACGGTAGCCAGGCAGTTCGACGTGGGTGCTTTGTTCACTCACTTGAATTGACTGCCGTGTTGGTCATTGGTTCAAGCCCTTACGTTAAAAAGTAAGACCTCGTTAATCCTTAGCTCGCACAATTTTCGACTTCTGAGGGTTATCGTTCGTAGGGGTGCGACAGCTGGTTAACAGAAAAACAGATTTTGAACAAAATTGAATCGGTTATGAAATAATTTGGTTCAAAATCTTCCATAAGTGAAAAAAAATATTAGATTCCAAACAAATCCATTGAATTTATGGGATAATTATCAGACCATAATCACTTATGGTGGAATTGCCTGGTGGCCGAAGGCTTTACAGAAAATGGCCCTGGCGAAGCTCTCTGGCTTACAGAGACAGGCTTGTGTGGCCACCAGTGATGCCATTAGTACCAAATCGTCAGCGGCCATGCAGATCCTCCTAGATCTACCTCCTCTCCATATTTTTCTGGTGAGAGAGGCTATATGGACTGCATATAGACTTGTGCACATTGCCAATTGCACAAATAAATTATTGCAGAGTGTAACAGACTCTTGGTTGACACTAGAAGTCACAGCATTCTGAAAATGGCCTATGACTTTATGCCTCCAAAGTACGAACTGCCTTATAGAGTACTGTTCCCAAGTAGAGAGGACTGGATCCTCCGGAAGAAGGAAATATTAAGAGCAGATAGTTGTTGGTTCACAGATGGATCAAAAACACCTTCCGGTTCTGGTGCAGGTGTTTTCAGTCGCAGACTCTTGGATCATACCAAGCAACGTCTAAATTGGTAGTAAATTGCCAAAAACGACTCTCCTCGATAGGAAGACTCAACAGATTGTCTCTGAGGCAAGGAGGTGGCTGACTCCCTTGCAAAGAAGGGTGCTGCAAGCAGCTGCATCGAACCAGAACATGTCATTGGCATCGCTTTTGGCTTTGCCAAACAAAGATTGAACACCTGGATGGCAAGACGGCAGAGCCGTACTCTTACCATCTAACCTGAAAGACCATTCACAATACAAACTAATCGGCTTCGTTAAGATGCTGAGTTCATTTGAACGAGTGTGAATAGGTATGAGCCACAATGAACCTTTGCGGGTTGCGGTGGAGGGTCGAATACACCCACTCACTTTGAACGTAACCTAACCTAATTCGGCCATTCTTCTAGGATTTCGAACATGTTGAATTTGTAGACAACAAAAATGGGAACGTATAACAATCAGTGTGGCTGTTTCAAAAAAATTAGGCTGTTTCAAAAGCGTTGTCCCTTTTAATGTCATGTTCCATATCGCAATGGATATTCATTCTTCTGCGTCTTGGTATATATTGGTATATACTGATCGATGCTGTTCATTTTTTGCCAAATTTTGATGTTTGCATATTTTCAGCTTACTATTATACGGATTCAAATTGAACCAAAGCGCTGCCTAAACAGCCCCAAAAGTCAACCAGGCTTTTGGCAATGATAGTATTGATGACATACTGTTCGACGTTGGTTTGCGAAATTAGGTTCCGAAGATTTCAGCCTCGAAGATGAGCTCCAAGTAGTCGGCCTACAGTAATCCTGGACGAGGATTTGCGGACCTTGGTGGTGACTGACCCATCATAAACAGTGCGTGGGATGGCGGGAGAACTGAGCGTCAGCTTCCATGCGGTTTTTGATGGTTTATAATGTATTAGAAGAAGTGGGTGCCCCATGATTTGAAAGATCAACAGATATTGTCACGTTTTGAGTTATTTTCTTCTTTGAATTCGCGCATACAAAAATATCTTTATTCGATGGAACAAAAATTATATCAGCAGCAGCAGGATCTGGTCAACTGAAGAGGTTCGATCCTGCTCCACGACAACGCCCGTCTGCACGTTTCACAAATCACCATCCAAAAATTGAACGAATTGAACGTCGAAGTTCAGCCCCACCCACCATACTGCCCAGACCTCTCGCCAACCAACTACCATCTTCTCAAACACTTCGATAACTCTCTCATTGGTAGAACCTTCGCCAATCAGGACTAGCCAGAAACGACCTCCATCGAGTACATCGAATCACGATTACCCAATTTTTATGTCGTAGAAATAATTGACTTGTGTTACGTTGGAAAATGTGCACTGATTCAAATAGCGTCCATTTCGATTATTCACTGAGGTATTACAGTTCTGAGTAGACCCATATAAAGGGACAAAACACTAGAAACAACTCAATAATATTTTGAGTTTCATGCACACTGTTTGTTATTGTAAGTCTATTCATGAAATCTTTTGATTTTTTCAAACACATTCTATCAGGAATATACTCACTCTACACGTGTCCTTTATCTTCGTTGTTGAACCTGCACAAATCATCCAATCATCAACAATCCCCTTATTCAATACGGAAAAAGTTTCATTTCTGATCCTCTCATACGATTTGTCACAATCTTTATGAGGGAATATCTCCAGAGTGACCTTCATTAGGCTATTGGTAGGATTTCCTGTCTCCTCCATGATTCCCCAACCAGATGCGATTGGTAGAACATTTGGAATCATTTTCTCAGTGTAGAGACAGGCAGCTCTAGCATAGGGGTTCATCTGAATTTCCGTAACCAACTTGAGAAGGCCTATGTCTTGGTAGTTCTGACCAGTGTACTCGGGATAGTGAATAAGCTTCTCAACTTCCAATTGTTGCATGTGAGACACATCAGTTTTATTAGTAATACCCACTCGTACAAATTTTGCAGAACCGCT